TGCATACCTGTTATAAATCCCACTTTGTCATTTGATGTATCATTGAATTATATTGGCCAATATTTTATTCCGCATTTTTGCACCTATGTTCATAAGAGATATTGGGCTATAGTTTTCTATTTTGGTGGTGTCCTTTCCTGGCTTTGGTATCAAGGATATGTTTGCTTCATAGAATGAATCTGGGAGAATTCCATCTTTCATAGTTTATGTAGAATTGGTGACAATTCTTCTTTGAATATTTGATAAATTCACTTGTAAAACCATCTGATCCAGGGCTTTTTTTGGTCGGAAGTTGTTGTGTTATCTTTTCAATTTCTTCAATTTCAGTTTCTGTTAGTTTAGGTAGATTGTGCATTTCTAGGTTATTTGTCCATTGCCTCTAGGTTTTCATATCTGTTTGAGTATAACTTTTTATAATACGCTAATGTTAGCTTTTTTATTTTAGTTGGTTCTGTTGTGATGTTGCCTGATTCATCTCTTATTCACATTATTTGTGTTTTTTCTTTCTTTTCTTTTGTGAGTTTTGCTAATGGTTTGTTGATTTTATTGATCTTTTCAAAAAACCAACTCCTAGTTTTGTTGATAGTTTCAATTGTAGTTTTGTTTTTGTTTTTGTTTTTTATTTCGTTTATTTCTGTTCTAATTATTATAATTTTTTTTTAGAGGGTGTCAGGTTTTCTTGCTGTTCTTTTTTAATTTGCTGAAGATGTTGAGTTAGAGAGTCAATGGTCAACTTTTCTTGCCTTTTGATGTGTTTTTTAATTGCTATAAATTGACCTCTGATTATTGCTTTGGCTGTTTTCCAGAGGTTTTGGTAAGTGGTGTTTTCATTGTCATTTGTTTCCAGAAACTTTTTAATTTCATTTTTATTTCTTAATATTTTTTAATATCTTTAATAGACAGAGATTCTCATCACTGGGCTGATTGGCAGCATCATAATGGATGGCGAAGAGACTGAGATTGCTCACAGTTTTGGTTTGCTTGGATCCACAGTCAACACTCTTGGCACCAGCAGTCAGGAAATAAAAAAGCATATCATGATGGGAGAGTCTGTGGTTAGAGACCTCTCTAAAGTGCTGAAGTGCAAAGATGTCAGTCTGGAGACTAAGGTGTGCCTGATACATGCCATGGTCTTTGCAATCACTTGCTATGCCTCAGAGAGCTGGACAATGACTAGGGATGATAGAAGGAGAACTGATTCCTTTGAACTTTCGTGTTGGAGAAGCGTATTGAATATACCATGGACTGCAAGGAAACAAACAGGTTTGTCCTGGAGAGGGTGAAGCCAGGCTTCTCCTTGGAGGTTAGGATTCTGAAGCTTGGTCTGACATACTTTGGACATGTTGCAAGGAGGGACCAGTCCTTGGAGAAGGACGTCATGCTTGGCACGGTAGAGGGACAAGTGCAGGAAAGGAAGACCCTCGATGAGATGGATTGATTGAATGACTGCAGTAGTGGGGGTAAGTGTGTCAAAGACAATGAGATTGGCACAAGATAGAGCAGAGTTTAGGGCTGTTGTACATAGGGTCACTATGAGTCACATATAACTTGACAGCACATAACAACAATAACGACAACATAATATTTATAATAGTATCTGTGTTCTGAAATATTCAAATATATGCTGTCATCATTAGGTGCTATTGAGTACAACTCAGCAACCCTATGAACAAAAGATCTGAACCCTGTTCTATCCTGAACCATCCTCATACTTCCTGACACGCAAGAGCATATTGCAGCAGTCATCGGTTAAATCCACCTGGTTGAGAGTCTTCCCCTCTTTCGCCAACCCTCCACCCTTCCAAGCATCGTGTCCTTCTCCAAGGAATAGCCCCTCCTAGCAACATGTCCAAAGTATGTGAGGTAAAGCCTCATCATTCTTGCTTCCAAAGAGCACTCTGGCTGCTCTCTCTCCAAGACATATCTATTCAGTCTATTGGCCCTGAATGGGATGTTCAGTGCTCTTCTCCAACACCACAGCTCAAAAGTATCAATTCTTTTTCTGTCAGCCTTATTTTTTGTCCAACTCAAGTAATCAAAAGACAATTGGACAATGGCCTGATTCAGATGCTCCTTAGACCTCAAACAGACATCATTACTCCTCAATATGGGAGCTCTTTAAGTCAGAAAAAAAGTTTTGAAATTTACTTCTCCTTATAGGGATAAAAGAATTTTCATCCTCATGCTTCAGTTAGAGCCCTTCTTCACGCAGAGTGTCTATGTCACTTAATCTACACAGTAGTGGTTAAAAGCACCATGTGACCTGCTCATTACTAGTTATCAGAAAGGAAAGGCCTATGAAAGATATTTGCTCCCATCTGTATTTTGTTCCCATTCCAGGAAAAGGCAATCCAATTGAGTTAAGAAATTATTGAACAGTATCAATGGCACATAACAACAACAACAACAGCATACTCTATTGGGTTGGTTTTTTTTTTATTTTAATGAAAGTTTACAGAGACTTAGGGTTTCCATTCATTCACTGTCACACTTTTCTCCCTGTCCACCCCCTACCCCCCCAATTCATTCTTCTCTTTGAAAAGTAAAAGAAAAATTCCTTCATAGCTAAGACCTCTGGGAGGGCCTTTGTATTTAAAAGTCGGTTGTTACTATATTTTAGAGGAACATCCTTCTAAGTGGTACAGCTCTCTTCTGTCAGTATGCTGTATTAAAGTAACCTGGGGCTGCTGGAATGCTCAACCTTGTGCCATTGGGATTTCAAATGGCATAATGGTTACCCATGGTGGACAGTGTTTGGTGGAGCTCCATTTTAAGGCAGGTCTGGAAGCAGGAGTGGCATCAACTTCCTAAACAACATGCCTCTGGAAACTATGAACTTTAATAAATTGTGATAGTTATAGAAAGGTTTCAGCCCTTTTGTTCGTAGGGTTACTATGAGTTGTGCTCAACTTGACAGCAATCAACAACATCATCATTATCACATGCAAGTAAAATCTTGCAGAAGGTTATTAAAAATGGCTGGAATATCATGTTGGAATGGAACACAGAAGCATTCACAGCAACACAGCTTGGTGAACTTAAAGGTTAAATATTTATTGCGTGTCTTTTACAGGCTTGACAGTGAGTGAAGCCACGAAGAGGAATAAAACACAATCCCTACAAGGAGGTGAAAACTGACTCAGGAGACACACAATCACCACCCAATAGGAACAACGTGGTAACTGGGCTGGGACAGATGGTTGTGGGCATAGGGAGGAGAGAGTGTACAGGCCAATGGAGTCATTACCCAGAAGGTTCTATCTGAGCTGGGTCTTAAAGGATGAGGAAGAATTTACTGAGTGGAAATGGAGAGGGAAAAGCATCTCAGAAAATCAAGAAAGGAGGAAATGTATGTATGTATGTATGTATGTATGCATTTACTTATTGTAAAATGACTATAAGCTTAGAATCATTAGTTTGTTTATCTGCAAAGATAACCTCGCTGGTCAATGAAAGAGGCAAGGCTGGAGTTAGAGGCACCAGATAGGAAGCTGTTGTTAGGTGCTGGTGATGTGACTTTTACTCACAAGGATCTTGTGACGAATTAGAACTTCCCCATAGGGTTTTGTAGGCTGGAATCTTCTCATGGGCAGCTCACCTCCCATGTCTTTCTCCTGTGGAGCTACTGATGGATGGATCTGAACCACCAACCTTTCAGTTAGCAATTGAACATGTAACTATTTGGCATCTGGGTTCCTTAGACAAGGACTAATCAATTGACAATTATAATAATTAACTGCAGACTGAGGAAGTGAATAATATAAGCCCAGGCACTGTATTAGGATCTGCTTAGGGGCAAATAGGCCAAAGTTGAGTTGCTTAGATTGCAGAGATACAATAAACACTTACTAAAGGCAGGTAAAAGAGGTGAGTAGATTTAAAGGATCGATTTAAAGATTTGCAGATTTACGAGTAGATGTAAAGGAGAACACTGTAGCAGATGCTCTTTGGACACCACCTGTCACCTTCATGGTTCCCAGACACCTTACAGCTTGTCACTTGCAGGTACCTCGGACTCTCCACCTGTAAACATCTGTGCATGGCTTGCTCAAGAGCCAGGTCAAGAAGTACCAGAGAGGGAGCTTCCTTATGAGCATCCTCCGAACCTGTGAGATTGGAGGTGCTGAATAAATGTCCCAAGTTTCCTTGCCCTCAGGTTGACAATCCAATCCAGGCAGCCTGAGTCCGTTGTTCCCATGGTGACTTGTTTGTTAACACACCCTGTTAAGCAGGCTCCCTTCTCTTCCCTTTCTCACTTCCCCAGTCTCCTATCAGTGCTTCCTGGAATCATCTCCCAAATAAATTACTCGCAGATATACTTGTTTATAATTTTTTTCCAAAAGATATTCTTCAGTTTATTCTGTTTACCAAGCATAAAAGAAGTTAAATAATTCCAACAAGACCGTAACATTTCTTTTTTTTTTATTTTATTTTTTTTTTTAGCATTTCTGAGTAAGTGTCACATTCATTTCATTACACAGAGGTTGGCTTATCAGAATTCCTCAAACTTAATCTCCATATATGGACTCAGAACTGTCTCCTTTGTGAGAAGGAAAGCACAACTTTCCTTCACTGACAATGAGGAAATAACACAATTTGCAGGTTGCAGTCATATTTTTGTCTAGAGACCCATTTTGGGGGACAACGCACTTCAAGACAAAGAAGAAAGCAGTAGGAAAAGTGGATGATAAGCGACAAAACTGCTAGCTTTGGAGATGCTGACCCCATCAACTGAGATTAAGATTCCTTTGTATAAAAAAAAGTAAAAGACAATACAAAAAATAAAAAGGGGGGGGAGAATTTTTGCAGAATATATATCTAATCAAGGACTTGTATACAGAACATATAACCCTATATCAACTGTTATCATTTTATACAAAGACAAATTAGTTATAAACTTTCAATGATTTTTCTTAAAAAATGGAATAGATAACAGGAAAACAGGGTAAGTTTGGAAATGCTGAGTTTATGGCACTCAAGGGATCTGTGATCTCAAAACTCCCTAAATTCAAGATGAGAAAGATACAAGAAAGGGAACGGGAAAGGAATTACAGTTCCTGTAGCAAAAGAGACCACCGGGGAGCACATGACGTGTCCCTACAGCGCAGTCACAGTGTCTTCTTTTGAGCCAAGAGAATACAAAGCCCTTGCGGTTTCCTCCAGGCGTTTCCTGTATTCTAGATTCTCATAGTTGGAAGGACTCACTCCTTTGAAACCATACATAATCCCCCACCAGCAGCCGGCGATGGCAGCCGTGGAATCACTGTCTCCACCATGGAAAAAGGCCCGGTGCGCAAGCTCCTTCCACGAGTCTCCTGCTGCAAGGATGGCATCATAGGCAATCATGGGGGCATCGTGCCCACTGCTGCCGCCCCAGCCAGAGTAGCTCACAGAGGTGTAGAACTGATCTCTCTCTTTCACATCGAAGGGCTTTGGGAAGGTAGGGGCTGACTTGCCATCCCAAATTCCTCTAAGTTTTAGATATTTTTCCCACTGGTCATGGAAGTAGGACCTGTAGGAAGAGGGGGGGGGGGAAGATCTACATCAGGTAAAAGACACAAGATCAAAAGAAAATGTTATCTCACCAAAGTTCACAGAACTGTTATTCAGCATTACAAGAACATGGAAACATGTTCAAATGTTCAACTAAATTGAATGGAATGAGAAATTGTGGTACATTCACATGATGGAATACAACATAGCATGCAGGAGCAATGATTTTGATTTTTATTTTAATGAAAGTTTCAGAGACTTTGGATTTCCATCCATTCATTGTTGCACCACTGTTGCACTTTTCTCCCTACCCACCCCGCCCCCCAGTACACGCTTCTCTTTGAAAAGTAAAAGAAAAAGTCTTTCATTGTTATGCAATCCCTCCTCCCAAGTACACTCCACTGTACATCCTTCATTCTGGACTCCTGTCATGACAATAACACCTAATCATATATCCCTTTTAATCAGTTCTCTCCCTCATCTTTTTCAATGGAGTATACATTATTTATCGCCTCTTTCTCAGTCTCCCCTCAACCCCAATGTCAGTCCTGTTTTACAACAGTGGCACTATGCAATATTTATCCTTCTGTGACCGAGATATTCCATTCAGCATACTGACCTCCAGGGTTACCCATTTTGTATAATATTTCATGGGTTTTTGTAAGGCAGTCTAGTATTTCATTGTGTGAATATACCAGAGCTTCTCTACCCATTCGTTTGTTGATGGGCATTTGGGTTGTTTCCAATTCTGCTATTGTGAACAAAGCAAGGAGCAATGACTTTGAAAATCACTATCTAACTTGAGAGGGACTGGACAGCATTATGTTAAGTCAACTAACTCATTTCCATAAGAACAAATATGATCATTATAAATAAGACCATTATGGTAGAAAGTGTATAAAGATCCAAGGTGGGGAAGGTGGGAGCAGCAGTGTGAGGATGAGTATGTGGGTGGGCGGTAATCATAGGATCACACAATTTTATGGGTGGAGGGAGGGATGGGTAAAGGAAATGGGAAAGATCCAGTATGGAAAACGATGTATATGAACTTTGGAAGTAAACCAGTGTAAAATAAGGTAATAAAGGAGGTCAGAATT